GAGGAGGATTCATCTGAGCAGTGAGGATTTTAAACTGGAGGATTTTGATCAAACTGGTCAGACTGTCCGACAGAGATGGTGTGGTACCATGGGTTCACCTTCAGAGAGTAGGAGCATCATTATAAGTTCATTAGAGTTCATAAATGTACATATTTTATTGTCTATATATATATATCCATGTGTTTATATGTACAGTTAACTATAAACTGTAAAGTTCATATTCATTATATTTTTTCATTTACTATTTATTTATCCAGGTAGTGTCATTGAGTCACGAGAACTCATTTTCTAGAGAGACCTGTTTAGGGAGCAGATGGTGGGGGTTGAGTGCCTTGCGCAAGGGCCCAGAGTGGGGCCAGTGAGGGTGGAGGCAGGTGTGGGTGTTTTAACTTTTCCACCCACATTTTGATGATGACGGTACCGGGAGTTGAACCTGCGACTTTCTGATCACAGGCCCATCTTCTAACCTCTGCGCCACCACTCCCCACATAACATCATATCATAATGGTCATGGTCGTATTAAAATCTCACTGGTTTCCTTCCAGATGTGTTAAACAGCTACTGGTCCCCCTGATGTTTCCAGGTGTGTGTGGTCAGTGGATGAAAAGCCTGGCATGAACAAGATGATGCTGGAGATCATGATCTGACGAGAGCTCCCACCTTCTACCTGTGAAGAACAAGAGCAGCTCAGTGAAGGTGCTGAGAGCTGCAGAGAGGCTGATTCATGGAGCTTCAACCTCCAAACATGTCCACCCTCACACACATCGTCCACGAAGACACTGGACCAGAGCACAACATGATAAGACAATGATAACAACAACGACAACAGTACACATTCACTAATGATTCATACAAATTTAAGTTTTTTTTGTTTGTTTGTTTGTTTTACGATTGAAAAACAGTTTGTTATCCACTGTTGTCATATATATATATATATATATATATATATATATATATATATATATATGATGGTGATATGTGTGTATATATAAAATAGATATAATGTATATGGCAAAAGATAGCGATATTATAATGTGTGTGTATACAAGGAAGTTATTAAACTGTGTGTATATATGACAGTGATATAGATTATGTATATATATATATAGATAAAGATATATAGATATTAATAAAAATGTTTCAGTGACTGTGAGTTTTGCAAAACTTGTCATAAGAATATTTTATTAGTGTTAATGTTAACCTCACCATTTAAATACACTGCGCCATGTGTTCATCTTTAATGTCTGTACATAAAATTTACAGAGAAAATCGTGAGAATGAGTTTAGAGTTGAGCTGCGCGCGCAGATACGTCAAACGCTGAGCGGAGCGGGCGACCGTTCCAAGATGGCGGCCCTGCGGCTCGGCAGCGGCGGATGCGGATCTAGCTTTGATCTGGGATCTATGGCCGAACGCTCGAAGTCACGGAAACGAAAAGTCCAGCATGACCAGGACCCGCAGGACGGGACCGGGTCCACCGAGGGGCCCCGCTGCGACAAGAGGCACATAGCTGCTGTGGTTCTGGCCCGGGGGGGCAGCAAGGGGATCCCCCTGAAGAACATCAAGCTGCTGGCGGGAGTCCCGCTGCTCGCATGGGTCGTGAGGGCGGCCATCGACTCCGACATGTTTGGCAGGTATTAGACATTAAAGAAACTGCGTTCACTTCTTTGTGTTAGCAAAATATTTGTGTTTCAAGCTGAGCTGAGAGTTAACATGAGTTAAGAGGTCTCTGACTTCCTGTCCTCAGTGTGTGGGTGTCAACGGACCACGATGAGATCGAAAAAGTGGCCATTTCCTGGGGGGCCAAAGTCCACCGGAGGAGTCCGAAGGTGTCCAGGGACTGCTCCACCTCCCTGGAGACCATCCAGGAGTTCATCACGATCAACACCGGTACCAGAACCTGACTCGGTGTTTCAGTTAGTGACGCATGCGCAGTCATCCAGGTAGAAGAACTCTTCGTAGTTCTTCTACCTGGACTGTTGCAGCTCCTCACAACGATGGTGTTCAAACTTCTTTACATTGTCCCCGTTTGGTTGTGAACAACTCCGTTCTTTCGGTGTGAGCAGAGGTGAAGGTGATCTGCAACATCCAGGCCACGTCTCCGTGTCTCCACCCGTCTCACCTGCAGCAGGCCTTGAAGAAGGTCCTGGAGGACGGCTACGACTCCGTCTTCTCCGTGGTCCGGAGACACCAGTTCCGCTGGAAGGAGGTGAAGAAAGGAAGTGAGTGAGCGGATCAGCTCCGACCCGACGCGCTGCGTGCTTCTTCTTCTTCTTCTTGTCCCAGTCACCTGCTGCTGGTTTGCAACTGAACTTTGAACCTGCTGCTGGTTTGCAACTGAACTTTGAACCTGCTGCTGGTTTGCAACTGAACTTTGTTAGTTTCTGTAAGGTTTGTGAAGAACTGTATGAAACTCTGACGTGTGTCGGCTCTTGAGTGGAGCTGTTAGAAGAAAACACTCCTACAATTCAAGTCGTCACAACACAAGTCGTCTCAGGGACTGATCAGAAACATTCATTTATAAAAATAATAATTTAACGTTATTTATCTGAGGAGCAGCTCTGAGTGTAACTCCATCACAGAACTCTCATCTTGAGCGAGCATGAAGGCGACAGTGGAAAGAAAAAACTCCCTCATGAGGAAGAAACCTTTAACAGAACCAGGCTCAGGACAAGCTCCATCTGCTTCGACCGGCTGGGTTTGGTAGGAATAGATACACAATGGCAGGTCAAGAATCACATGTTAAGATAGAAATAGTGTCAAATGAAAAATGAAGGTCAATTTGACCTCTACTAAACCTATAGCAGCATAACAAGCTAACCCTAACTATAGGATTGATCTAAAAGGAAAGTCTTAAACTGGACCATGTGTCAGCCTCATGGACAGAGATTGGTAGGTGGTTCCACAAGAGAGGAACCTGAGAACTGAAAGATCTTCCTCCCATTCTGCTCTTGGAAACTCTAGGAACCACGAGTAAACCTGCAGTCTGAGAGCAAAGTGCTCTGTTAGGAAAATATGGAACAATAAGATATGAAATATAAGATGGAGCTAGGTTGTTGAGGGCTTTGTAGGGTAGAAGTAAGATTTTGAATTCAATTCTGGATTTGACAGGGAGCCAATGGAGAGAAGCTAAAACTGGAGAGATATGATCTCTCCCAGTAACTCCAGTTAAGACTCTGGCAGCAGCATTTTGGATCAACTGAAGACTTTTTAAAGAAGTATTTGGACACCCAGATAATAAACCGTTGCAATAGTCCAGTCTAGATGTGACAAATGCATGGACCAGTTTTTCTGCATCATTTTTAGATGTTTCTAATTTTAGTGGAAGAAGGAGGTTCTAGTAACGTTTTTAATGTGGGAGATAAAAGACGTGTCCTGATCAAAAATAACACCAAGATTTTTAACTTCAGAGCTCGAGGACAGATTAATGCATCTAAGGAGGGAGAAAGACTGAAACATTCATTCCTAAGGTGCTCATAGTCAAAGTTTCTATTTGTCATTCAAGGTCCAAAAATTTATTAATTAAAAAAATGGTCAGACACAACAGGACTTTGAGGAAATATTATTAAGTTATTAATCTGAATGCCATAGTTCAAAATCAGGTCAAGAGTGTGGTGTTCGGACATTTTGAGTAAAACCCACTGACTCCATGAAGTTTTTAAAGTTTATGACATGCATTTGTAAATGTGTGTTCCTGAAGTCAGGTCAGAGGTTTGTACGTGCGCTACGCTTGAGCTATCACTTTCAACATCCACATGAACATTGAAATCACCCATTATTATGACTTTATCAGTGTTTAGTAGTCAGTTAAGAATTCTGAGAATTCAAACAAAAACTGAGAGTAAGCGCCTGGTGGACGATATATAAGAACTAGTGAGAGAGGCCGCTCCGTTTCACATTTAGGATGGGATAGACTTCAGGTGCATTCACACCAGCCCTGTTGTCCCGAACTCTAGTCCGTTTGCCTAGGAAGTCCGGTTCGTTTGGGGAGGTGTGAACTCACGGAACAAAAAGCTGAACTCTGGCCCGCCTAAAAACCTAGGTCTCTGTCCGGTAGAAGAGAACTCCAGCGCAGTTCGAGTGCAGTGTGAATGTAAACAGACCGGGCCCCGCTCCACAAGCAGGAAGTG